TGTGTGTGTGTGTGTGTGTTTGTGTGTGGACAGGAAAACATCAGGTTTGGACATGCGTGCACAGTGCCGCGGAATAAATTACAAACCGATGAAAGTATGAGTTATTTATTCAACATATAGCCAGATGAATACAAATTTACATATTCGTATAACAAATATATATATATATATATATATATAATTATTGCATAAAACATAATAGAATAATAATAATAATAATAATAATAAGTTTGGTACAATATTTGCCGTTACCGTCCAATGTTTTCATCCATCCAAACGCGGAGGGCTAAACATTGCGCCTTCGCACAGGTTTTGTTTTGAGCGCGGTCCGAGTGAAATGGACATACGTGTTGTTGTTGTTGGAGCATCCGGCACTTGGGACAGCCGTAAGCTTCCAGGTCGATGACCGTGCACTTCGGTAGATAGCGTTGTAGGAGGTTCCGCTTTTGAATGCCTTTGACGTACACAGCAGTGTAGCGGCTGTTAACGGCGCCTAGGACGCGCGCCAGCTCCGAATACGGTATGTGACCGTCTGTATAGCGGATACCGTGAAAGTGTGTTTGCAACCAAACGTTTACTTTCGTGCTTTGCGGTGACAGCCGAAAGGTAGGCGGATGTTGAACCAACCAATGCATCACGTGTGTAGCTCTTTGCGCGTCAGCTATGCATATTTCTTTGATGACCATGTGAAGGTCCGAGTCGACCACGCACTGAACGTCAATAACCGCTGAAAGCATATTGTCAAACTGAGCTATCGGTTCGTTTGATCCAAGCATTATACTTGACGGGTAACCCGACGTATTTCACGAACTGCTTGTCCCCCTTCCTCCGGACAATTTTTTCTATTAAATACGTGTTGGGATAACGCGTCCGGTTCATCTCTTGCGCGTAGAACGTTCCGTTAACCGGCGCGCCGCTCTTATCGCGCACTGTATAAACTGTAGGCGCTGTCCGTCGTACCCCGGACACGGTGAAAATTTCGTTTGATCAACTTTGCGCATAACCCTTATCAAATACCGTTTTATGTTTGCTCAGGCGTACGGCATCGCCCACGGCGAATTTAGGTTTGCCGCCTGCCGCCGCCGCCGGTTTCGGCAACCGGTAGAAAACAACACTCCCGGGCTCGCGGGACGCGTCGTTCGGCGTCATTCAGATGGACGTGTGCACGGTTGTGTTGTAAGCGGCGACTAGATCATTAACGAGCGGCACCCATTCGTGGTTGCCGTGCGCTGTAAACGCTTTCCACATCTTTTCTTTAAGCGTTCTGTTCCAGCGTTCACAAACGCTCGCCTTCAGCGGCGTGTACGTTTGATAATGGTGTATATTATACTGCTCGTACACGCGTCGTGCGTCTTTATTGATAAATTCCAGACCACGATCCGTGTGCAGGTGACGACATCGTCTGTCGCTGGACTTGATTATGTGTTCGAGGGCAGCGGCCACGGTCGGACCAGATTTATTTTTCAACGGTACGGCCCAGCCGTACTTGGTGTACACGTCTATAACTGTCAGGAGGAACGTGTGATTTTTATTTTTTTTTACTTTGGAAAACTTTTTCATGTCTACGAGGTCGGCTTGCCATAAATCGTCTTTGCCGTCGGTGCGCACGACCCGTCTGGCAAACCGCCGGATAGCCGGTCTGTGTAGTTCGGTTGCGATGTGCTCGCGAACGGTCATCATCGTCAGCGGATCACACCTATTTCCCTGAGTTCCTCCTCGCACGCGATAATTTCGTTGTGCACGGCGGTATTGCCCGCGGCTTGCGCGGCTCTGAGCAAAGCGAGGCGGTCGACTATTTCGTTGGCGTCGTCCCAGTAAACATATTCTTTGTCCTTCCCCGTAACCGTCAACCGCGTAATCCCGTCACCTGTCTTGGCCGCGGCGCGAACTGCGGTCAGGTCGCGTCCGTTCTCGTTGAACAACTGTTTGATAATGTACTTATACTTGTATCCGCGGTTCGTTTTCGGTCTACCGGACGATAGCAAATGACATCCTGTGTGAATGAGAAAATTGCGATACGTGGTCAGATCGTTTTCGGTGATGAATTGCATGCGGGGTACCGAGCTGCACACCAATTCTTGGAGTCCTTTCGTGAAGGGTATTTCGGTTAACGTGCCCACTTTTATACGGTTCTTGTTGAACTGTACTGCTTTATCACCCATCACCCATGTTCCGTCTGGTTGTAGATGAATGCCGTACGACGGATTGGTTTCGGTAATACGGAATTCTTCTGCTTTTTCTTTTTCTTCTTCTTCTTCAGACTCATCTTTCCGGGCGCCTCGCGCTTGCGTCCGCTGCGCCGACAACTCGGCTGTTAATTTTGTCAACGGTTCAACGATCGGCGCCGCGTGGGTTCGCACGTATTCGGTCGTCACGGCCAATCCGTGCCGCAGCTCGTCTAGTTTGCGTTTTATGCTTTTCTTAGCACGTATAATTGCTTCCGTCGTAGCCGGCGATTCCATGGTTACATTTTACTGAACGGGCGCGATGCCGTCGCGCCTTTTTATATACACGTCGAAACCCATTCGATAACGTCCGTCGTTTAGATCGAAGTCCTTGACAATTGTTAAAAACGAGTACCGGTCGGTGTTCCAACACTGCGAGCACATGGATTTAAAGTCAGCGAACGTCATATCGGATTGACAGTGTTCCTGGTAAACGTGCCGAACGTTAGTCTCGTCCTGTTTGTACAAAACTATCATCGACGCGTTATCCCGGATCCCGTGCTTCGGCGCTTTGACATACGTTTGCGTCAGGTAAAAGCTATCGATCCCGTTGTGCCGTCCGCGGCAAAAGTATTCGGCGATGTTTCTTTGTTTTTCAAATGCGACATCGTCAAAAACAAACACCGAATTAGTCTGTACTTGTTCGGGTGGAGGCACATGATCCCCGTCGGTGTACACGTGCATTTGCGCGCCGTCAACGCCCTCCATCACCTTCTTTAACATTATATATTTTGGCTGATCAGGTGTCTTCGTGTACAGGTATATGTGTTCGAAGCGCAGCCCGTTTTCGTCTGTCAAAAGGTTTACCATCGCCGTCGTCTTGCCGACGTTACTGGGCCCCGCGATAATACATCTGATTGAGGAGGGTAGGAGGGGACCGTGACGGCTGTGGTGGTCGTCAGCAGCGGCTGGGTCGTCGTCGTCGAGCCGCAGAACGGTTAATTTGTGTTCTTGCGGTTCGAAAAACATTATAAAGGTGGTGTCGCAGACCAATGCCGTGTCCAAACGTAAACGGTGCGTCGTCGTCGAAGGTTCTCAGCGAACAAGATCGGTCGGGTTATCGTCACTGCGGTTATAAGCTCACTACTGTAATGCCCCGTGTCAACCGACGTAAACGGAAGGGACGGCGGTCTGCACCGAAAACCGGAGGCGGGCTGCGCTTCGGCAGTCTCGTAGCTGCCGCTCGTGCTGCGATGCGCAAAGCGAAACCGCTAACCGTCGCTGCGGCAGCGCGGAAGGCGTTATCCGCCGTCAACCAGGTCCGTCGGAAAGCCAGGGGAAAACCGGTTCTCCGACCGCGCACGTTGGCCGTGCCGAAAATCGGCGCGTGCGTCCGGAATCGTGCGTGCGGTTAACGACATCCGCAATAACAAAAACGCGAAAGCCCCGGTAAAAATCGGAAGTGGCTATTTGTTGCACCGCAAGCGAAACGGATCCGGATTCTACCTCAAACCGTACCAGCCAAAAAACTGATAACCACGCTGCCCAGATCGCGGGCGCTGAGCGACGTGGATATTATAAATTACGCGACAAAGTTGGGCATATCTCATTTCCGCGGTGTGTTTATGCGCGACACGTTACCGGCTGCGCCCTTGCGGTTTGAGTGCGGCGTCGTTAATCTTGACGTCTCTACCGGAAGTGGTACACACTGGTGCTGTTACCACAAGCGCAACGATACCGTCTTGTTTTTCGATCCGTTCGGTAACCTCCCGCCGCCGCTAGAACTTCAGCGTTATTTCAGCGGTTGTCTCGTCCAATATACCTACGACCGTGTGCAACGATTCGCAACATCCGTTTGCGGTCAGCTATGTCTCAAGTTTCTGTACGCTCAATGTCGTCCGCGCACCGCTCGTTCACGTTAACCTTTCAAGGTACCGCGAGCGAGCTGGTCAGCACGTTTTTCCCCCCTATCCCGTTGCGGACCGGCGTGGAGATCGCGTTGCTCGACGTCATAGTGTGCAATTCCCGTCCCAACGTCGACGCGTCTAACAACACTTTGCGCGTGCGACGGTTGCCAGGTGTTCAAAAACGCGGTGCCAACATCGATATGTACGATGACACTGTCGCCACCGGTACCGGTTCAGTGCAGATCAAATCGGACGCGCCGTCGCCGTTACCAGACGATGCCTATGACGACGTCGTGATACCCGTCGGGTCGTACGAGGTGTCCGCTTTGGCTCGCGTGCTCAAGTCACTAGTCGAAAACCTAAATCCCGATTACCGGTTCGCGCTTCATCCCAACGTCAACACGTTTGAATCGGAACTCCTGTGTAATCGCGACATCAGCTTCGCGGCCCCCAACAGCGTCGGCCCTCTATTGGGGTTTGAGCGGGTCGAGCTGCCGGCGAACACTTTGCACCGATCCGGTCGTCTGATCACCATCGATCCGCTTACGTGTATAAGAATCACATGCAACGTCGCGGCAGGTGCATTCGTCAACGGCGTTCGTAGTCGCGCGATCTATGACTTTTTCCCATCCGTCCCGCCCGGGTTTCAGATCGCAGAATCACCGCGTAATTTGATTTATTATCCAATAGCGACGGATCGTCTCGACCGCGTGCGGGTCACGATTACCGATCAGAACTCGAAGCTGGTCGACTTCCGCGGTGAACCAATCACAGTACGTTTACACGTGCGCGATGGGGTTGGTGTTTAAAAGCGTCCGCACGCGTCCGGTTCGGTACATTCAGCCGTCGACACGTTCCCGGTTAACACGGCAGAGCTTGCAAACGTTATCGGCGCTCGGCTACAAACTCGCCGCGAATCAAACCACCGTCAATGGACGTCGACGTTTTGGACATCACTCGGCGAGTCGAATTCGACGATCGCATCACTAAATACGAGTTTCACACTTATCAACCGTTCTCCAGCAACAGTCTAACGAACAACGATGAGAATTTTTGAATATAACGCTTTGACTAGCGAAGTGCACAAAATTTTGTAATACCAATTGATATAACAATACCTGTTTTTTTTTTGTATATATATTTTTTTAAATTTAATATTCCTTTATGATTGTAAATATTTTTAAAAAATAAATAATCATTGCGTTAAAAATTTTTTTTTTTTTCCCTTTCCTTTCCTTTCTTCGCTCTCAGTTATCAATCTTTTTCTTTTAACCATTGATTGGACGGGTAACATACAAAATGAATACACAGTTTTTTTTTTTTTTTTAGGTACATTACACATATTTATTTATTTCTATCGTTCGTCAAGATGTTATATATATATAGTATAACAAACACACATAATATTAATCATATAAAAACAGAATTCGTTGTTACATTTTTTTTTTTTTTATTTATGTGCCCGCGAAGCACAGGTCCGTCCGCCCGCCGTTTAATGATGCTGCTGCTGCTGCTGCTGCTAGCGTCGTCATTTTCTTCTTCTTCTTCTTCTCCCTCATAATCGTCATCGTCGTCGTCGTAGTCAGTGTTGTCGTCGTCATCGGCACTACTACTACTATTACTACTTTCAGTCTCTTCGACTGTGCTCTCCGCGTCGCTGTCGGGTAGTTCCATCACACTTGACGTGGACGACGATCTGCTCTCCTCCTCCTCCGAAGACATCGTTAGATCTGGTGATAATGTAATTGGTCAATTTAGTTTTATACACTCACACACACACACACACACACACACACACACACACACACACCAAGGTCGATGTACTTACCCACTACGTCGGTTAACGAGAACACCCTTTCTATTCGCAGCTGTATTCGCCTCACAGCTTCCGCTGCTGCCGCGTCTACCACCTGTTTCACATTTTTTTTTTTTTTTTTTACTTTACGCTCCTTATATATATATATATATATAATTATTCCCTTAATATAAAATCGACTTACGCTCATCGGTAGTAACTCTGGCAACCCGTTGTCATCATCATCGTCGTCGACGTTATGCACCCAATTGGTACTAAACGGTGGCGGCGAATTTGGCGGCGATGGTGGTGAATATCTGTAGTGCATTTTGATTTGGTTGTATGTGTGAATGTGATTAAATGGTTTAGCGTGTTCGTTTATATATGGTGTGTGTGGTTATTTCGTCCCTTCATTTTCTTTGTGTTATCATTGTACGCGGTCTAACGGGAAATAACCTTATCAGGTTTCGACCGTCATGTCATCCACACTATCGCACGGCGGTGGTGGTGGTGGTGGTGGTGAAGCAATGCTCCCACCGTCTGACTTGGTTACTGGTGTAGTACTCGTCTTCTCCTCCTCCTCCTCCACCACGTCGTTCCTGTTATAATTACTATGTACTAAAATATAATCAATAGGTTTTTTTTTATTTTACTTACTTATCTGTGTAACCGTCAAGTAACTCTGCTAAATTCCATTGTGAGTTAGGCATCATCATCATCGTATTAACATTTTCTCCCCATATTTCGTCGCACAGCCGTTTGTATTCTATGACCGCGATTTCTTTGTAATAACTTGGTTCTCGCGGTGGTAATCCGTGTACAGGATGATTCATCATTGCGGTGTACACCTCATCGACCGACATTGTTGCGTATCGATTTATCACCTCCACCGTCATCGCATTCTTCATCGTGCCGTATTGCTCCGTCAGGGCTGTACATATTTTCGCGTTATCATCAAGTGCCCGTACGATTGCTTCGCGATTCCACTCCAACGTTAACAAATTTTCTTCGGTCAGCGTAAGGCGGGTGTGCGCGTCGTTGATGATCAGGTATGACTTTGAAAAACATCTGGTTTTTTTAATGATAATACCGTCCGGCGGTTGTACGTGGAACGCCGCGCGTTGATTGCTGCCCACGAACCGCGTGAGATCATTAATACCCGTTACCAGTCCGACGATTTGATTTAAGCTCAAGTTCATAAATCCGTTGGAACACACAATCATCGCTGCCGGAGCATATCCCGTCTCCGTCCACGCGCATCCTATGTGTAAGAATTTTCTCTCCTTAAAACTTATCGTTATCACTTTGACCGCCAAGAGTTTCGTTTTCGGCTCTTCGCACGTCCGCTTACGTCTGCTGCTGCTGCTGCTCATGCGTATACCTTTCCGTCACCGCGTTCACCCGTCCCCACCATGGTGTGTGTGTGTGTGTGTGTGTGTGTGTGTGTGATACCAGTAGTGATAATAGGATTGTGATACCAGTAGTGAAAACAGGATTGTGATAACAGAATCGTGATATGGCCGTATCGAATCCTGTTATCACGACTCTGTTATCACGCCCTGTTATCACGACCCTGTTATCACGCCCTGTTATCACGCCCTGCTATCACGCCCTGCTATCACGCCTTGCTATCACGCCTTGCTATCACGCCTTGCTATCACGCCCTGCTATCACGACCCTGTTATGGCGCCCTGTTATCACGCCCTGTTATCACGCCTTGCTATCACGCCCTGCTATCACACCCTGCTATCACGCCTTGCTATCACACCCTGTTATCACGACCCTGTTATAACGCCCTGTTATCGCGCCTTGCTATCACACCCTGTTATCACGACCCTGTTATAACGCCCTGTTATCACGCCTTGCTATAACGCCCTGTTATCACAATCCTGTTATCACGCCCTGTTATCACAATCCTGTTATCAGGCTCCTGTTATCACGATCCTGATAACAGGAGCCTGATAGTGATAACAGGAGCCTGATAACAGGGCTACATACGGCCAAAACAAACTACTGCCCAGTGGTTTACTTTACAAACTGAAAAAATATTTCCAGTCCCTATATGTATCCCTTAAAATAAAACTATACTCTCAAGACAGAAAATGTATAGTCAAAAAAATTTGTGCTTATTCACCTTGCTTTTCTAACACGTTACTAGCTACTTTTGTTGACGATACAGCTATATTCATTTGTCACAAAAATAGAAGCGACGTGGCTCACTATTTACAATACGATAAACATCTGTGAGACATGGCTTAGGAATAAAAATAAATCTAGTCACGTTTCCTTTGCTCTCCGTCATGAAACATGTCCTGCTGCAATACTCAACAACACAGTTATCACTACTCCAAATGAGACAAAATATCTTGGTTTAATACCAGACAAACGTCTAACCTGGGGACCTCACATCAAAAAATAAATGAAAAAATCAAATATTATTATATTGCATCTTTTTTGCCGGATTCCTAAATCCAAGCTGCCACTAAAAACTAAATTACTTATACATCAACAGTAAGACCAATACATGCGTTCCCAAATATATCACTACGAACGGTCACAAATGCCCCAAGGGGTACCAAACGTTACTGGAATAGAGACCTACTAACATAAAATAAAAAACTGAATAACATTACCACACTTTACATATACAGTTGTTACCAATGGATGGCTTCCCTTTCAAGGCATTCAAGCTTTGTAATATAACTTAGAAAAAAAACTTACTGTACATATTTTTGTATAGCTTGTTTTTTTTTGTAAAATAAAAAAAAGAATTTTTTGGTGTCTGCTAAAGTTGTTTAAATGATATTGTATTGTTAACAAGTTTGTAATTATAAATTAATACAATTTTTCAACTACTACATACTTTCATGCCATTTTAAAGAAATTCGTTTTTCAAAGTGCTTATAATTTCTGAATTCTTTTTTTTTACTAACACCATAAAAATGTATAAAGCTTAATCTGTGTATTGAGTTACATTACATTATATTTATGGTTTTTTCCCTTTAGATCGAAGTCTTTGTAATTTTCTACTTTTGACCAACTAAAGTACCAACCACATACGTTTTAAAAATTATAGATATATTAATCGAGTAGGTTAGTTTACGGGGAAAAAATTATTGTGACTTTAGACTAGAAAAAATCTTGACAAAACCACTACGGTAAATTTACGAACAGTCGGTATAATTTGGCAAAAAATGTCATAAACAATATTATTACAAATCAATAACTCAGTACATAATAAACAATACATAGACTCAAATTATTCTTGTATTCAATGGTCAAAATATATTATTGTATTCAATAAAATAACTATATTACACTCGGTTTATATTTATTTAAATTATAATTTTATAATTGTGAATGTTGTTATTATATTTAACATTTTCCTGATTGTCATTAGTCTAAACATTCGGACTTCTTACTGTAAACATTAGCTATAAACATTAAACTAATCGCAAACTGACCCTTCATTAAGTGTAAACGAAAGCCCCAATTCCGGAAACACTTTATCTATGAATAATTCGATTTTTTCATCGAGTCGCTGTTCAATACCTGTTTGCGATTTTTCAGCATAATCTGTGTGATTTTCTACTGATATGGGCTTCATCTGATCGAATATTATGTTTAGTTCTTTTTTCATTTTTGACAAAATATCGATGAAAGTATTCATTTGTATAAGTAACTGTTCCTCATTGTACCTTCCCTCACTTCTATTATAAAATTTTTCGCCATCGAAATTTGTTATTTCAATAAAACTCTTGAACAAGATTAGGATTTTCGAAATATACAAATTTGTGTTCAGAGGAGATGTTATTTGAAAAAATATATTAGCGGCTTTCATGTACTGTATAACTGGATCGCTCTTTTTGACTGATATCACAAAGGATTCAATAAAGTCATATTTTTCATTAGGTTTCATTGTCGAATGATAGAGTTCTGATAAAGACGTGTAGTATAAATATAAGTCTCTTAATATTTTAACAAAGTAAGCGCTCATCAGGTCGTAGAGGAGACGAATTATACCGTTAATATTTTGCTCGTTGACTTCAGTGACGATCAGACTTTGAAGACCGTATTTTTTTTCATTCACAACAACCATCAAGTTTTCCAAATGAAGTGACCAGCCAGGGAGATATTTTAGTATCCCCTTTGTTAGCGTAATTTGTGTTTGAGGGTCGGGAATTTTATTTAAAACGGTCGTTTGTGACTCCTTTATGTAATTGAAACCCATGAGAAAGTAATCCATTTCTATGAACTCTTTTATTGCATTATTAATCAAAGGGTATAATATGCCCATTTTTTCGACTTCGCTGATCTCCTTGTTATATATTTCCTTAAGTTTTACGTCAACTGTGTTCCAACCTAAGGTTGAATTGCCAAATTTTTCTTGTAAAAGCTCCGCTGGACGACAGGAGGTTTTGAAAAAATTGATAGCGGTATTTTCTAGTTTTCCGAATTCTATTAAAATATTTTTTAATTTGTCATTAATATATGGATCAACGTTAGTTCCGTCATTAGGTAAGCTGATCAGTATTTGCAAGCTAATAAAGTGATCCAGGATATCGAAAAAGGCGGTTTTTAACTCGGTTTGCGTAGTTAAAAAACTGAAAAACGATAGCGCACTTTTCATGCGCGATACCAAGGTTTCCGGGTTTAATAGATGCACAAACTTATCCAGACATTCCCGATGAACGAAAGCGGTCATAAACGTGCATGTTGTGCCAAGTCTGTATAAATATGTTTGATATATTAGAAAATCAATAGTGCACTGGCAACTCAGGAAAATTTGGGCACGTCGAATTTTAGTAGGTAAGGTTATGGGTTTTATCAAGAGTTCTCCTTTGTTATTTTTCATAATCACTTCGTATATGCTTACTATGTTCCTTTTTTTGGTTCGACGATTTCCAGCGGCGGCAAACCAAGCCATCCTGGATAACTCAGAAGTTCAAAAATCTCTTCTATGGGGTCTACCGCAATCGAATCAGATACCATACTGCTGCATAGTACAAGAAACATCAAACCGCTTAAAAAACGTTTTGTTAACATTTTTATTTTTTGAAAAATTTAAATCACGTGTAATTACGAACTTTGAACGAATTACTGAGAACTGAATAATCCGGATAGTTGACTAGGTATGAAAAATTATTGTACGTGTTGGGCTAGTTTTAAACCTTTACGCATATTATCGCGAATGTGTATAATGAATATATTTTGTGCACAACAACAGTTAAAGTAAACACAAACGGTATGTTTAAGTTTTATTTCGACTGCCACTCCAACTCCTCACCCCCACCTATAACCACCACCACCGACCGTATCAGATTGCCGTGCCGTGCTGCTTCAACCACTGCCTCTGTACCGATTGTTTTTATTTTCAACGCACCGTTTGTTTTTTTTGTGCGGCATCGTTTGTCTTTGGATTTTATCGAACACTTATTTTTCCTCCGACTTCATTCTTATACTGAACGACGATTTCTAATATCCATTACGTACTAGACATTCTAAATGTCTAATGAACTATAAACCCACTTCCTCCCTTAACCTAACCCCTCAATGTTGGTGTTATTTTTAATGTTTATTTAAAAATATACGCATCTTGAACAATGACTGAATAGACTATCTTTGCAATTATAATTGTTTGGACAACAAACTGACTCATACAAAAAAAAAATTAACATTTACAACAACAACTACAATTAAATATTAACGGAAAACCACCTTTTAATTCAATTTCACATTCTTCTTCTTGAAATTCCTCTCCTAACGGAGGTTTGAATTCATCATATAATTCTGGATTTTCTATTGGGCTGCCTTGAATATTTGGTTGTTGTTGTAATCAAACCATTGCCTCAGATTTTGCATCCATGATGATTTTTACTAAGAATAATTAATAATGTGGTGGGTCTTCCGTCTCCTTCCACATCGCAGTGATGCAACCATACCGTTGTACTCAGCACTGCTTGCATTTCTTCAAAACTAAGCTGTTCCAATGTCATTCATTTTCCGCCTTAGCTCGATACTGATGTAGCTGCTACCCTGCGTCAGGTTACTTTTGTCGCCTCTTACGACAGGAGGAACGTTCCGTGATCCTATTCTTGCCCGAGATTCTTTCCACTGATTTCAGTAATTACACAGATTTTACAGTTTCCTCAAATTGTACAAAAAGAATTGTATTACCTTCGATCTTAACCAAATAAACCATCAAAGACTTTTTTATGATTGTTCATGAGCGTCTTTAAAAATTGAATACAATATTGCTGTTCCGTTTCTGTGTAAACTATATCAATACTATCTACGGTAACTACATAATGTCTAATTGAACTTG